TAGAGTAGATGGTGAGGACCGCGATCCAATGTCGGCCTTCACGGACCTCAGTCTTGACCCGGCCGAGGTCTGCGCCAAGGTCAAGGTTCTCACATCCAAGATTATGCTAACTAGTTCCCGAAAACGCTTTTTGCTATACTTGTTTGAATTTTTATTTATGCTTAGTTGGCATTATAAGGTCAGCTTCTTTGCCTGGTCAAGATTTTTCGCGAGATCATTCTAACGTTGAACATAATACCAAATGTAAAATAACACTGTTGGTGTGTAAGTGCGTAGTGTTAGATGTTTGGTGCATAGAGGGCTGCTTTTGTGACCACTCATAGCCAGCTATAGAACATCAATGCACTTCCACATATAATTAGGTACATACTGTTGTTTAAGAAGAGACTATTTACAGCAGTAGCGTTACTTGATAACGTGCGCGTGCGCGAGACACATGCCTACTAAGGAACATTAATGTTTTGACTTGGAAATGTACTGTTTTAATTATAATAAATCGTATATTTTCAGCCTGTTTGATGCCGAAAATAAATAAAAAAAGATTGATCAAAAATAAAATACATACATACATATTTATATCGTCGCCTCTGTTATTTAGGAAAGAGGAAGACTTAGGAACAGTGCCAATTGACTTTCATCGCAAAATATTTTTGAGGGAAGTGTTTATTAAGTTAAATGGACGTCATCCAAGAACCTACACAGTTTGTGTATAATGCCAGCTAAATAATACGCCTACACAAACATCAAAACAACTTGAAAAAATTGCGTCAAATGAAAATGTGATATGAATACCATCACTTATTCATTCAATAAGGGGCTAGAAAAGGAAAAATAGATCTTATGAAAAATATAATCTTAATAACACATTTAAACGAAACACCTCATTAGGTACAAAATGAAATTCATTTGATTAGTTATCACTTTACCTACAAATTTGTGTATTTAAATACATACTAGCTTCTGCCCGCGACATCGTACGCACAATCCCGTTTTCTCCTGTTCCTGTAGGATATTCAGGATAATTTTCTGTCATAAGAACCTTCTCCTGACAATAACAAACACAACAAAAAACATCAGCCAAATAGGTCTAGCCGTTCTCAAGTTATGACGTGACAATGGGAAACAGGTTTCATTTTTATTTATATATAGATAGATATTAGAGTATTATATATAAATTAAATTAATATAATAATGTAGGTGACATACTCACCTACATTATTATATTAATATATCACCTGTTTACATTGTACATTTATCATTTAAATAACAAATTAGTTGCAAGCATGTAGTTATTTAATTTATTATTTATTGCAGTAAATTATTTTTGCAGGCGAACTAAATTCTGAATTCCATATTACCTACATGAAGATTACTACAGTTTACAATAGATAAACAATCAACTGTGGAACATACAAACATCTAAATATAGTTACTCCAGTTTAAACAATGCATCATGAAAGAATGGTTGTTACAATTAACTCGTCGAGTACCGGTTTTGTAGACACAATTATAGAACAATAGGTTCCGGTCACCGGTGACCGCTTGGGGTTTGACAGTTTAAAACCTCATTTTTCTCCATTAAAGTTGAGGCGATCTCAAAGGATCTTAAAATAATACATATCTGATTTTGTTTGAAAAGGATATCTCATAGATATTGCATCACATTGGAATTATCTATTCTTTACTGGTAGTCATTTTTCTCCATTAAAGTTGAGGCGATCTCAAAGGATCTTAAACTAATACATATCTGATTTTGTTTGAAAAGGATATCTCGTAGATATTGCATCACATTGGAATTACCTATTCTTTACTGGTAGGCAATAACACTTCAAATAGCATAAGATATGAGCGGGATTTCCTTGTTTCCCTCAACCATCACATTATTTCGGTCATAATAGGTTTATAGTGATAGTGATGTTAATAAATAACATTTAATATTATGTCAACTCTATAATCTGAAATCTCCAAACCATTATTAGCATACCATTATAACTAAAATATACAGTTGCCATATGGCTCCATGACAAAAAATCCCCATACAGCCCCTTTCCACAGGGAAGGCTAAAGGAATTATCAGATTTTTATTGACTACAAAACCACTACAGAGTTCCATCATGCATAAACAATTAATTTCTTTGATATTTTATACTCATTTGAAAAGAATTTCCTATTGATACATATTTTTATCTGGATTTTATATTTGTTGCCTATATCATAGCCTAACTGACAGTTATAATATATACTTCCGTGTTGTGGCCAATATGGCACAGACTTCATAGGAAATATGACTCATTCATATTAGTAATTACAATAGTAAGAAAAGCAGGTAACTCACTTCTCAAAGAAGAGAAGATATGGCTCTCCATGCAAGATTGAAAATACAGAAAAACACAGTACCTAGGCAAGCATCTACATACATATAGCATTACAATCTCAAGATTGTTTACAATAATTGACACACACATATAGGCAATTATGATTCATACATAAACCGACAAGGTTTTTCAACATCTGCTGACATTGGAAACACAAAAATGGTCAAGATGGCGATCAGTACAGGTACACATACCTACCTGGTTACTGTAGTCACATATTGACATTATATTGTCTACCTTTTATGTCACCATATGATTATCCATATGTTAACATTATCTTGAGGCTTCATATTCATACACCTATTGATGCAGTTATAAAGCCATGAAAATGGAAATTTCCACTATTGACCTTCTCAAATACTTATGGAAGCTTGAATATATTAAAATATTTAGCATTTTATTGTTTAATTACATTATACACAGAAATTTAAACATTGTGTAGTGTATTAGAAAACAAACATTTTTGTATAGAATTTGAAAAAAGATGAGACTATGGTGAGGTAAAAATATGTTGAAGAAAAATGCTGGATAGTAAGTAATTGAAAGTATTTTTGGTTCATTAATAATGATAATCATTTTAGATTTAGAGAGTTGTTTATTGTGACGAACTTGGTGTTGTTTATGAACAAAGCCTTCAGGCTTCCATTGTTGTAAACAAGACTGCTTATTAAATGTAATAATAGTTTCAAATTCAAATTCAAATTCAAATTCAAATTATTTATTTGCACAAATATGGGTACATCATGTTGTTCATAGTTTATACAGTCATATAATAATATAGATCGCCATATTCCGGCTTTCGCCATGCAAAGTTAAATGACAACAATTTAAGTCAAGATAAAAAAGATTAATTTTAAGGTCAAAAATAGTGGGTTTACGTCATAAGGAATAATTATTATTATTAAGTCAGAAAATAGCATATAGGTAAATTAAAGTTTTAAATCTTTGTCGATAAAAATTCTAATATGTCACAAAATCGAATATCATCTATACATAATATTTAATAAAATTGTTACTATCTAAAATACAATTAAAATTTAATGTCATACAGTTACTCATACATTAATAGTGTATCTGTGTGCTCCAATATTTACATTTCGATTCCGGATATATTGTCCTCTAAAAATTCCTTTATGGAGTAATAGGCTTTTGCCAAAAGTAGACATTTTAATTTACTTTTAAATGAATGGTCGTTTGTTGTTTCCAATAATGTGGTGGGTAAATGGTTGTATAATCTAGGTATCATGCAGAATACACTTTTACTTAGGAGTCCAGTTCTGTTTGGCATGCAGCTTAGTTTTAACTGTTGTCTCCTACTTTTTAATTTTGGAAAGAGATTTGTATTTTGCCTAGCAAACATTATTAGGTCAAAAATATAAATACACGGGAATGTCATTATCTTAATATTAACAAATGTAGATCTACAACTTTCGGTTTGTTTCATTCTGAATATGGCTCTGACGCATCTTTTCTGAGCTCTAAAAATCGCGTCTCTTTCTGTACAATTGCCCCAGAACATTGCACCAAATTTTAATATGGGGGTGACATACCCATGGTATGCCGTAAGAACAGCTGACGTATTGACCGTTCTAGACAACATGTATATTGCGTACGAGTACTGACTAAGTCTCGAGCACAACGTTTCCGCATGCAGCTTCCAACTCAGCTGCGAATCCATCTGCAATCCCAAAAATCTGGTTGTATCAACTATCTCAATCTTGGTCTGCGAGTGGTGAACTTGTAGACATGCGCAAAACAGTACGTCAAATAGTAATGCAACATCACGCATCTCTTCCACGGAAGTGATATTACTCCGTAACATCACACATTACCCGATCGATTTTTATTGAAATGATGACCGAGTAATGTTTAAGGTGATATGTGAAGTATTACAGATCATATTGAAAAGTAGCAATAATAACTGCAATAGTTATTACATATCGTAAAATTACAATTTAAGTAAATATTAAAAAAATGTAGTTGATTTTCCTTCATACTTGGCCACGTACTTTATGTTGTTTGTTAATAATTGTAATGAACGCAAGCAAATGTAAAACAAAATAAAGAAAGGGGCCCTCCAGGCTTAGGACTGGCAATCTTTGTTTAAGGAAGACAGGCGTATTTAAAAATCAACTATTTACAACATTGATTGGTTTATACATATATACACATATTTATATACACACGGCCGGCAAAATTTTACATCGGCTGCGCGCGGTGGGCGCTCGTGCTTACGAACTAAAACGACGCTTACCGAACGTTGCCGAAGTGATGAGTGATGCGAGTGATGTTTGTAACTGATGCGTAATGCGTGATGTTGCATTACGTGTCAAAGTGATATTACTTTTGTACTATTACACGCATTACCTACCCATGTCTAATGTATAACTGCACTTTTTGAAATAGGACAAACAAAATCCGTAGCTGTCAGTTTCCATACAGGCCATCAACAAATATTGAAAGACTTGGTACAACAAACAATGGAAGGTCATGCAATGCTACAGTTTTAATTACCTACTAATAAAACTACGCAATTAGTGCAACTGAACTGTTATAACTTTGAATCATAACCTACAAACTATGATAGATGTATTTTGAGGAGTACAGTTAGATGCTAGAACATACCAATAGTTGCGAACTCGTCCGGCGTTCTCCCGCCGGCTAACAGCCAGCGGCACCAGTCAATGGTCTCCCACTCGTCAATGGCCTTGCTAGGGTTCAGCAGTACGTCCAGCAACGGACCCAAATGCTGTGGGGATCCATTCTCACAGTCCGCGTGTATGTATGCGGCTGCACCCCTTTTACCCTTCTTCATGAGCACTTGAGCGGTAGAATTCGACATATTGACACTTTGATCACCATAAAATCTAAACAATTACACTAAACACATAAGTCACCGTATATTTCGGTCACTCACGGAAGAAACACTATTTCAAGTTTTACATAAGGCAATGAACTGCAGTCCGTATCGACGTTGAGGTATAACATTTTTGTAAGTCACTAACACAATTTTGGTTGAAATTACGATAGTAAGAAAACGTGGGAGTTGAAACAATCACAAAATATTGAAAATGGATAGTAAATAACACCGTTTTATTGAAAATATGCAATGCAGAAACAACTCGGCCATTCGTTTAGTGTTCTTAACGCAAAAAATAATTTTAATTCAGTGTCATGTCATTCTACACTTTCCATACCAGAGTGAAAATACAATCGTTGAGATAAAATATTTATTTTTTGCGTGTTGCAGTTTAAATATAATTTAACCAAATGTTAACCTTATCTCAACACAATTCATTAGACTTCTTCTCACACAGAGAAGAAATGATAATTGTTTATCACCGCTTTGCCACGTTTGCTTTAGGTAGGATGGCAATTTCGAAATTACAATTTGAAATTATCAGGTCCGACAAGGACTTTGAAATTTTATACTAACAAACTGAATCTGAAATAGTATTCATATTTTGATTTTGTACAAATAACGCCTATTTTTTCTGACTACAAATATCGTACTCCCACTTAACTATTCAATTATTTTTTCGTTGGCAATGGTAATATTATTAAAAAAAAAACACTTTGCAAATGGCGGCACGTTTGTCAGACACGTGATTACTTGTGTTGTTTTGTGAAAATAATACTTCAGTGGAAATTTACAAATTACAAGAATTAAAGGATCAAATAGTAACAAGCAAAAACCTGAGTTTATTTAGTGTTTCAAATAACGTACTATTCACTGTCTATGTGTCATTAAAATTATTTGAAATCATGGAAGACGAAAAAAAGGTTATGTTTCATGAAATGGAACTGGATGATCGCATTTTAAAGGTATTTAGCGATTAGTTCTGTTTTATTAAATTATCATACTATATTATATAACTTTATACTAGCATATTGCAATAGATTTCTTTGTAGCTTCTAATCCAGTGGCAACAAAGACTTGTAAACAAACTAAAATCCGCGTGGTTATAGAATTTTGTATTTGCGTAATTCGTAAGTAACATTCGGGTCTTCTTTTTGCAGGCAATATCACAGCTGGCATGGCCAGAGCCCACACTGATTCAAGAAACCGCAATCCCTTTGCTTTTGGAAGGTAAAGATGTGCTGATGAGAGCCAGAACAGGGTCCGGCAAAACTGCTGCATTCACAATACCAGTCATACAAAAGATATTAAATATGAAGAATACAAGTACACATCAGTGTATTAGAGCTCTCATACTATCACCAAGTAAGGAGCTGTGTGGACAGGTGAGCTTTGCACATGTTCATATCACTGTATCAAGTAAAAAAAAAACAATTAAATTCTTTTTCAGTTACTTAACAGTACCACATTATTTTGTAGTTAAATATTTCAGATTACTTCAGTAATTGGTGACCTAACCACAAAATGTGCAAGGGAAGTGAAATGCATAGATATATCGTCAAGTGGAGACACAGCCACACAGAAAGCTCTATTGTCAGATAAGCCAGATATTGTTGTGGCAACACCGTCAAGGGCGCTGGCGCACTTGAAAGCTAATAATATGAGGCTGAAAGAAGATCTGGCTGTACTTGTGGTGGATGAAGCAGATTTAGTGTTCTCATTTGGTTATGAGGATGAGATTAAAGAATTGTTAGGGTGAGTATCATTATTTAAAACATATACTTGCTGTTTAAAAATGCCTGATGATTAAACTACTATTTAAAATATCAATCTCTCGACCGATGTTTAATAAATTTATTCTTTTGCAGACATTTACCAAAAATCTACCAAGCTGTCTTGGCATCAGCAACACTCTCTGAAGATGTGCTTAGTCTCAAAAAGATTGTTCTCCGTAACCCTGTCACCCTAAAACTGGAGGAGCCAGAGTTAGCACCTTCATCACAGCTGCAGCATTACCATTTGTTTGCAGAGGAAGATGACAAGGCAGCCATATTGTATGCTTTACTGAAACTGAACCTTATCAGAGGAAAGAGCATAATATTTGTTAGGACAGTAGATAGGTGTTACAAGTGAGTATTTTTAGGAATCAATTTATATTTTATCTATATTAGTCATGTTAGCAATAAACTAATTCTAGAACCATTGTCTTGTTGCAGATTAAAATTATACTTAGAACAGTTCAAAATAGGGTCATGTGTTCTGAACTCAGAGCTTCCAGCTGCAGTCAGATGTCTGTCAGTAGACCAGTTTAATAGAGGAAGGTATCAGATCATTATAGCATCAGATGAAATGGCCCTGGAGAAGCCAGATGGTGGTATACTCCCCATAGAAGAGAGAAAGAAGAAGAAACAGAATTCTAAACGGAAAAAGGACAAAGAGTCAGGAGTATCAAGAGGGATAGATTTCCAGCTTGTGTCTAATGTCATCAACTTTGACTTCCCATTAGATGTGAACTCTTATGTGCACAGAGCTGGGAGAACAGCTAGAGGAAAGAATCAGGTAAACAACAAAGAAATATTTATGTATTTTAAGTAGGTATAAGCAGCTAATTTCTAAGGTTAATTAACAAGTACTTTGAAAAATTGGCGAACACAGTCCTTGACGGTTGTTACGCGCAGAATATAAACACAGTAACAAGAAGGGCATATGTCATTTTCTCAAGTCTGATAATGTGGTAACCCATTACACACACACATTTAAAAATGCCACTGACATTTTGGTGCTTCAATCTTTTGTATGTCCGCCTTTTTTTAAACGTCCTTGCTACCAGATATAATATTGTATTTTTTGTGTCAATATAGATATTTTTACTTTACTTTATACATATAAAAATATCTTATTTGGATATGGATATAAATTGCCAGTTTCTGCAGAGGACACATACATGTAGATTCTATATTGGAGAAGATTGGCAGTTCTGGCAATATGCCACAATTAAAAATATTGTTATATTGTTTGAAAAAATTGTGTAAGCATTTGTGCTTTTGTTTACAGGGTTCAGTGCTGTCATTTGTATCAATAAGAGAGAAGCCACTGATGGATGCAGTAGAGGTTCATTTGTCAAAAGGATTCAAGTCACAGAAAGTTCTACAGTAAGTTTTTTGTTTGATAATGTAACAACTCATTGCACTTGGACTGTACATTATACTGCTACTAACAACATGATGGTACTGTAACTTTAACTTAATTCTGAAAAATTTGGGGTCTTTTAGGAAATACGAGTTTGCCCTGGAAGAAGTAGAAGGTTTCCGCTACAGATCGCGCGACGCGTGGCGAGCTGTCACTAGGATAGCAGTCAGGGAGGCTCGTCTCAAGGAAATCAAACAGGAACTGCTCAACTGTAAAAAACTACAGGTAGTAATTTAGTTTCATACACAACTTTGTGTTAAGTACATGGAATAGAATGGAACACATGTCACATTTAAGTGTAGCTTTTATTCAAGTTTTAGCTGCTTTTTTCTTAGTACTCCACATGATGACCAACTTTGTTAACATAACACATTGATGATTTGTCTAATCTTCTCTCTGAATATCCCGTTATTTTATAAGAATATGCTTCACAAGTCGTCCAAAACTAACACAAATCTTCTTCCAGGGCTACTTTGAAGAAAATCCAACGGATTTGGCAGCTTTACGAAGAGATAAGGCTCTGCATACTGTGAAAGTACAGCACCACTTGGCTCACGTACCGGAATACTTATTACCTGCTGCCTTGAGGAGTGATGAGACAGTGGAAGATGAGCAGGAAGGTGTTGCAGCAGCTGCTCCTGCCCCACAGAAGAAGAGGAAACAGAACACACAGTATGGGAGCGCGAAAAGACATAAATATCAAGTGAGATATTCCTCCTATTTATTGTAACTTAAATTTACTCTTATGAAGTAGGAAAATCTGATTAACAGACATCTGATTTTCAGTGACAATCACATTAACAGTCAACATCATTGTCACTATATATTTTTACAGTAGCTAGGTACAGCTTTTTAACAGTATACTAATGCATGTAAGATTTTTATAATAAGTAATAGTGACTATAAAAAAGAAAATGTAATTTATGACAAGGGCACGGACACAAGTCTGTGGAGATTTAAAAAATCTTTTTTCAGTATACTAATTAAACTACTTTCATGTGTTCCAGGCCCGCAAAAACGATCCCCTGAAGAGCTTGGACGTGAAACAGAAGGCCACAGCCGCCGGTGACACGTAGCCGACACTTTGTTAGTATCCGAATGGATAAACTCTTTATATGAACGTTATGTTTTTATACAACCGTTTTATACTCTCTCCTGTTAAGGTTGGAACTACACTACCTACGCTAATGTTATAAAGATAACAAATAAAATTTAACGTTATTATAGGTATTTTGTTTTAATTTTTTGCATGTTTGCGAAATTTTGATGGAGTCTAATACTGTTAGTTTCAACAACAACTCTGTCGTTGAAGAAGTTCAGTAAACAATTCAGGCTTGAAGTAGCTGAGAATTCAGAGCAACAATTCGAAGCCCATTGCATTTCTTCTATTTAGGTGTTGTTTGAGCTACCACAATTAAAGTTTTACTAGCTCACAACTAACTTTCTTTTATTGTGAAATAGGAGCATTGTCAAATCTCTAAAAGTCCTGGTTGTTTACCGCAGAGCGTAGTTCCAGTCTAAAGTAACAGTTGTACTGCACCTTGTACTAATAAAGTGTGTCTGATGATGTGTTTTTCTTTCACACAGTTCGCGTTGGTGTTCTACGAGCTATTTAGTGTATTCCGCCGTTCGGTTAGTACTGTCTACCGTCAATGTTACACTGTAGCATTGATGATAATAAATTATGATTCATTTAAAATGGTCCCTTTTTATTTTATTGTTGATTTTGGAAAAAGATTTCCATGTTGCTTTTTGTAGGTCAAGGTTATTTGGTTACCGTCAATTTGTGATTCATGCGTCTGATGGAACGGTTGGGTTAGTACTCTGTTTTCACATTTTGTTTAGATTTCTTTGCCTTTGAAAATTTCGTAAGAACATAGTTCTCTCGGAGATGATTATCCGTTTTCATTAGGATGAAAATATTAGGGATCATAATAATCATGAAAAGTTACACAAAAACGAATTTCGTCTATAATTAGACATGTGAATTATATGTAAGGGAATTCGAATGAGACGATTGGACAAGCGACCCAGCGTTCTATTTCTCTTATGTGACCGTTACCGGAGGCCCAAAGATCTAGTGTAGGTCTAGTGGTGTCAAAGGGTACGCTGTACAGTGTTTATTCTATTGATCAGAAAGTAATAAACTTACACTATATGCGTAGCCTAGTCTGGTTACGTGTATATACATACTTATATCTACTTTTATTATATATCTATACTTTTAATTTTTCAGTTGCAACTCCTATTATCTTGTAATTGCCGTAGAAATGCTTGTCTAACTAAAGTCTTGCTTAATTTCTCCTTCATTGCATTGCACTGTTTCTTTGGTTCGATTTCACCATGTGTATTTTGCGTTTTATTGTGTCGTTCTTGTATGTTGTGTGTGTGTTGCAATATTTATTTATTTTATGCTTATTTTTCTAATTTGGTTTGCTTCAGGAGGGGTTTACGTATAGTATGCATCGTTTTTCACTTTATACATAACCTATTAAGTGCAGTCGTGAGGTCAGCTGTTCTTGTTCTGTTTATATTATCACGAAGGACCGCGCAGAACGCAAGTCCGACTACCAAAAATTACACGTACGACGTACCCCAATTTGGGATAGTCACAGACGGACTGCGTCCGACCGCAGTGCAATGGCCGGAGCCCGCCCGGGGCAACCGCCTTCATGATCACGGTACACCCTACGCAAGGTTAGTATGACGTCTGCCAGGCTCGCACCCGCTTTTATACCCGCCGCGGAGAATCTTAATAGCGACTTTTAATTAAAAGGCATAGTGACATCTGTTATCATTTTTCAGAATCACATTAGGGTTGCATATTGAGAAAATTGGTCGCTTATATATTACAAAAATAAATAATTTTGATATAATAAAAGTTGTACCTAGTTAATTTCGAAGATTTTTTCTAGATTAGACTTTCTATTCTCGGTTATCTAATAAATCCTTGCTAAAAACGATATCTGGCAATGATTAACTTATTCAATGACTACTGGAATCGCGCGCGATATTAGAACCGTCTTCAAAAATCTGAAGGATTAGTTTCTTTTTCTGCAGCGTATAAATAAAATAAAACTCCTTCGTAAAATTAAAACAAGAAACTGCAGGAAACTAGGTTTTGTGACTGGATGATTGAAATAATGAAGATGAGGATATACATAATGATAAAAATGCAAAGAAAAAACAATCCTAGGAATGAAAAGAAGAAAAAAAATCAACATCATATAAAAAGATTTATTACTGCATAAAAATAACAGAGATCACACGTTGGACGATTACAATGCGTTGCGGACAAAACAATTTAAATCATACAAACAAGACTGGACACGTTATACAGATTTGGAATGTCTTTTTTTCTTAGGTGGTTCTTTGATGATAATTTTGGAATCGCTGAAAGCTCTCCGCATCGTGAGGGCTTGTTGTCTTAAAGTTATGTTCGTGGAGGACTGTAGTGAAGAGAGGGGCCTGTTCAGGTAGTACCCATACGGTCCCATTTCACGACGTTGCCAGGGGCTGGTTGTGATCCTGTAGAAAAGGAAATTAAACAGACTGTTGATGTAAAATCATTCTTATATCTACATGCTTAGCTTTGTATTTATCGAAACTTGTTTCGTGTAGGAGGTTACTGGAAGCTGATTAAATAGAAAGATTAAAGAAGAAAGATTTTAATTAAAGATCCTGCTGTTGATTTAGCAAAGATCGCGTGTTTTTTTACTATTGTCAGTTGGACACGAGTCTTAATGACTTCCAGATCAACAGGTTGAAAGAAAAATAGAAAAAAACCATTTATTACGCCACGAAACAGTAAGAATTTAGGTACATACAAAAAAGCCCATGGTGCGTCGCAGCGCAAAAGGCTGGAGCTCAGCTAAAAGCATGCATCAAATCAATATTTTTTAAACTGACCATATCATGAGCGGCGGCATTTCAGGTCGCGGTCTGGTGTGTATGTATATCGCTAGTGGGGCCGCTCCACACATCCATATCATCCACTGCTGCATCATCTTGCGACTCTCTTCATAATCTTCAGACATCATAGAATCCTCCTGAAACAATACGTAGAATCAATTGTTTTTCGGCTTACTCACGTAATTATTTGACTAGGAACTCGACTAGTTTCAAGTCATGCTAGAGGCTCATATTCATGAGCAGCATTCCGCGAGCCGCGACGCGGTGACTGTCGCGCTGCTACCAGTAATAATTACTTGAGTAAGCCAAAAAACAATAATTTCAAAAATCATTTAGTATGTTTCGCGAAAGATATAATATAAATGCGTAGAATCATTATCAATTACTTGTCATCCGCTGCTGGACATGGGCCCCTCACAATGACTTATAAGGTCATCTGTCTACCTTATGGGTGGATGCCCTAACCATGTCTTCCTCCATTCGAGAACCGAAGAACCATAATAAACTTGTTATGGGCGTAAGATGTGACCTTCTTTATTATATCTATGGGTGTGACAGAAGGGGAAAGTATATTGTGGACTGGAAGGGTAGGTGTCGTATTAAGGCAAAATAGATTTAAATAAATTACTCTATGCCAAATTTTAACCATTGGTAAGTACCTAGTTATTATAAAAATAACTTACTTCAAAACAGTACTCTACGACTGTTTTCAGAATTCTCACAAGCATAGCCCAGAAATGTAGACTGTATATCACCATCCATATGAAAAGTAGATGCTAAAACAATAAAAAATATAAATATATCGAAGCTAATCATCATTAGTATGATTAATGTCTATGCACGATTCAATATTTGATTTCTTAGCTGGAGAATAAAAAAACACAGCCGAATTGGTAACCTCCTCCTTTTTGGGAAGTCGGTTAAAAAGGAAACTACATTTAACACATGTTGTATGTTCTTATGACTAAGCAGACGAACCGGATTTCAACTGCAATTTTTAGTTCGGATGCAGTTTGAACGCAGTTGACACGACTGCAATAGAACGGCAATCGAACTGGTCGTTTGGTTTGCAACCGTTTGGTCATGACTGCAATAGAACTGTAATCGGACTGCACGTTTAATTTGCAGTTCAATTGCAGTCGTGATACGACTGCTTTCGAACTGCAATTTGGAGTTGAAATGCGGGCCTAGAGGCAAACTGAATTAACTAACTACTATTAAGTACCTGTAAAATAAGTTCCCATAGTGGCACTCTTCGGAACACAAATCTCCTGAAGAGCGCAGCGAGTAACCGCTGCGAAAGCAACGCTGAGCCGGCTGCCCACAGCCCTGTCGGCACCACTGACAGTAAACCCTCTCCGCATTTTGCCCATTCGAACAGCTGCTTAATACAAAAAAAAATAATACATATTTAGGTACTTAGGTATATTACTAATCGATATCCTAAGTCCCATCCTTATGTCGCGGAGAACCTAACGGGTAACCGGGGCTCCGGCTCGACGTGCAGGAGAAGGAACGGGGTGGTTTTCAGTCAGTAAGAGTCTGACACTCCCTCCCGCCTCACCCAGGCGGGAGCAGATATTCGATGATTTTCCCCCCTTAAAAAAAAGTCCCATCCTTATTATATTTAGGTACCTATACCTACTTGTAGGTACCTACCTAATAGATGGAGATAATCTATCTTGGCAAAAATATACCTACGGAAAAAGTTTATTGTTGAGCTTTTGATTTTGTATAGTTGTTGCAAAGGAGATTGCTAAAATAGAGCTCACCTTGTCGACTTTTTGACTTAGTAGATAGATGGACTCATTTTTGACCTACAAATTGATAATCAAAACCCATAACGAAACTTGGACGTACCTTGCAGGGGCGATGATAAATTGTAACGAACATTGTCTGCTTACCTCAAATCCTTCATTTTGCATATAACTCCATATAGAGGTATCCCACATCACAAATTTTCGAATCTAAACTATTGACAACGAAATTTATCATTTGTGTTTTAATTTATTAAACTTTCTTGTTGATTTTTTACAAAAATAGCAATTTCTTATGTCACCATGATCATTGATCGTATTGACTTTTTATTACACATTCTTTCATTGAATTGACATTGATTGTCATAATATAGTTTTTTTATATTTTTGTTTGGGCTAAAGTAATCATCTGTTAGGTTTCTGTATACAACTAAGATATAAAGCCTTCTTCTTCACTTCCATAATGCACCATAGACGGACAAAATTGCTCTTTTTGTCTCTTGAGCGTGGCATTTGCCAGGTACGAGTAAACGCACCTTTTTGGAATCCCTAGTTAGGTTATAACCTACATAAAAATTGCTCTAAGAAATTAGATACTTCATTTAGTCATAACAAATATTTAATAGACCCAAAATCATCTAACAAGTGTATTGAACGGAATCTTCTCGATGCTTCTCCAGGGACAGTCTTCAAGACTTGGGTTCTTTATCGGCGATAGCACCAACGACGCCGGAGTCCTGTGGATTGCACGTGCACCTCGTCGACTGTAGGGATGTAACGGATTATTATGGGTATAGCCATAGCCTGAATGATTTGAAAAACAGGTAGGTATTACAAAGGATCCTGGTCAAACCGTTCCTAATCTGACGAGCTCTATTTATCAGTTAATAGTCAAAAGTTGGTTATGGATTTGTGGCATTAGTATGGCATCATCTACAACCTTGTTTTAATATCAAACGAGATTAATAATTCTACACTTTTTAAAGACCTCGTAAAGTCATGGTGCAGAAAATAGTAAATTATGGTTTTAATAAAAGGATGACGTCATTATCAATATTTATGTGGGTAAGGGTGAAGAGGGGTCGTCGTTACATCAATCTTAAAGTGTAACAGGTTACATTCTGTCTCGTGTAATCGATGCTAAGGGTAAATAGTCGTCGCGGAGAACCTAACGGGTAACCGGGGCTCCGGCTCGACGTGCAGGAGAAGGAACGGGGTGGTTTTTAGTCAGTAAGAGTCTGACACTCCCTTCCGCCTCACCCAGGCGGGAGCAGTCATTCGATGATTTTCCTCCCTTAAAAAAAAGGGTAAATAGTCTTAAGTTCGATACTCACTGCGACGTAGTTCCTAAGTTTCTCGATAGCATCAGTGGTCTCGTTCGACTGGGTGACCAGCCGTACATCGAAATCTTTCTGCGGTTTTGAAAGCGCCGCGGTAGATTCACACGGTTGCCGATCACCCCAAGAGACCCGACTGCACGTGTCGCTGACGTTGCCCGATGACTTTTTGCAAGACGCGCTCCCACTCTAGTTAAAAATGTTAAGCCTAAATATACTTTATCTTGTACACAGTCTATATTGACCATTTTGTATAATATCGTGGACATACTAATTTAATTGCAATATATGGGTTACTCGCGTGAGATATTCGACAGTCTACTAGTTTCAAGTCACAATCAAGCACGCAGTGGGTTGAAGATAAACTAAAAGCATTACGTATACGTGGTGCAGTCCGTCATCGGGCAGGTTTCCATGTGACCTGGTGGTGCAAACCCTCTCAGCCGTTGATGGACGGAGCCGACAAAGCTGTTGACCTTCTCCACTGTGCTGTGGAGTCCCCGTACGGCACGACTGTGCAACTCGGTTTGCCTGTTCCAAAACATATATTTTATTATATACCTTACTAAATACGTTTATCGAGTATCTACATTAGCAGTAAAATAGATTGACAGACTCAGCTTGCAGGTAATTGTTAGTACTAATACATGTAGGTAATCATGAACCATACCAACCACTGTTCCAAATACGGCATGTTGAACCTCTGGCAGTAGTTTTTACGAACGTAGTCTGCGTAGCAGAGTGACAGGAACCAGCAGACCGTCATGTGGATCTGCGGTTGCTGCTGGCGTAGGAACCTGGTCAGCGGGCCTAGCGGCATGATCTCAGCCTGCCCGCCCAGCAGACTCGCTGTCGTCATCTCCAATAGCATGCTCGGACTCTATACAATAATGATAAGTATTGTTGGTAACTTTCGAAATATCAATATATGTACTTAGCTACTTACTGAAGTTAGAGAATTGCAACCATCTAAAATTGGAGCATCCAGGTCACAAATCTTTGTGTGTCTAAGTGTCTATACATTATGGTAAGTCTGAAAACGGCCTTTATACTTACATCTCTTATAAGCGTGTCCAGATAGTACTGGAAGAACCGCATGGAACAGACCCACAGGTGGATCATCAGAGCCAGCATACCGAGAACCATGGTGGACTGGAAATTGAAAAACAGGATTTATTACAGTTCACTACCGCTATGCATCTAACTGCAATTTAGTGGTCCACATAAAAGAGAACTCTTGTCCCAAAAAACTTACAATCAAAGTCTTTTCTAGCCAGGAGACATGTGCTTGGTCTCCAGCGATGAACACGGTGGCCTCCAGTTCGTTGTAGAGGAAGAGGGCAGCTGCACTGGCAAACACCGTCGTCGGTCCCACCCCCCATATCTCGCCGTTACAACTCAACCACTTCGCGACAACCTCCAAGTTCGTGTCGCAGAAATTCTGTATCACAGACTATTGTGTTGGAGAGAAAATTCAAATATAGTAGAACGGATAGCACAGATAACAAAATGGTTAGCAACTGCCAAGTGTGAATTATGAAGATAAATACTTCCTACTTCTTTTTCGTTTTCAAAAAATCAGACGCAAACAGAGGGATGACCATCTGTAGCTAGGGATTTATCTTACAAAATCCTGAATTGCAATACTGTCTCAAGAGAAGACGTAAGTGATTGTACCTTCATTGTAATGCATCCAAGTAATATCAAATTATATGAATTAGCCTCTTTACATGTTAATCTTCAACTAACTATGTTGTAATGTAGCGAACATTCTGTAACTTTTATTGGTTGACAAGATCTTTTGGTCAGTGGGTCGTCTTGGGGGCGGATTTTTTAAAAAGGTTGCTATCAAATTTTGTTTGGAGTTGCAGAAAGTTATGAAAACAATGACCCCTAAGCATAAATGTAACCTAATATTTTGTTTTGTACAAGACTTGCTATTTACTCACACAATGTGTATAGAAGCTTACAGATTTGCCTGCCATGCAAGCGGCGTGAGAGTTATACTACTGGTCCCCCCTATATCTAACATTTTCACTTTGCGATTTCATTAATATATTTTTTTTCCATCACACTTTTGATTTTTATGCTCCTTTTTTTGGTTAGATCTACTATTTCATACCAATCTTGCTATTTGACGTTTTAAAAATGACGGATGGAAATCAAGATGGTACCTATGCGTTTGTTGAGACCTCTTTTGTATTTTGAGAATGTTTAAAAGAGAACCAATAACCTGAGCAGTATCATTGAATCCGTACCTACCTAATAACCATTATCATAAAGTATTTTTTCCTATACCTAACCGTACTTGACTGACTTGACTCTTTAGACAAAATATAGTAGATGTAGACTTAGCTCTGTACGTATATCTATCTATGATCAGGACTAATTATTTGAATATAAATTTCAGTATAAGAAGGTAAATAAAACACAGATTTATTGGTAAAACAAATGTCTAGATGAACCTGTAATGGCTGGTACAGGCGCATACTAAACATCTGTCGTTTATTCTAACACATATTAAATACAATGGTTACGTCACTACACACAATGCTACACAACAATACAGAGTATTATATAACCAATATATATAACTTATAAGCATATAAAATACATATAAACATATTATGAAACAAAACTAAGTATAAATATCTGTGGGTATATGAACTACTTTTTTAATATATATATTTTTTTTATAAAAACACTTATTTCGAACATTTACTTGTAAGTTACGTAATACGCTAATATAAACGAGAAAGTGATTATTTTATACGATATTTCTTTATGATTTTTAAGATAATTTGATCACTACCGAATGTAAGAATTTTCCAAAGAGAATATAGGAGATTATTTTATATAATTATCTCCATGTTTATATAGGTGAAGTGTTTGAACAACTCTAGTGGGCGATTATATGAAAGTACCCCTAACAGTATATTATATATTTACTTTATATTCTTTCTAATAAGCTATGAAAAATGGAACGCCGTCACCGAAATTTCTCAAAAATGTATTGAATATACACACCTACATAGCAACATCCTTCTTGTTCTAACAAGAAATTCATTATATTGAGTTACAATGGTTAAAATATTGTGCCTACAATTTTATTTAATCCTACAAGCAGATAACATGAAAAACAGTGTAAGAATTTCAGTAGAAATCTTATCACCGTAATACATGAAAATGTCTAAACATATCTACAATATTATATTACTATTCCTACAGAATGAACAAGTATAATATATTTAAATGTTTCACAAACAATGACTAGATTCAAAACCTATGCATATGTTCCCATAAACTTCATTTCACATCTCTAATATTTATATACACGTGTTTATATATGTAAATTATATATTACTAAAGTTTAATATATAGAGAATATACATTATTTCTGCACTCATTGCCCAAGAGTACAGAAATAAATATATTGTTATATCTAATTTAAATCCTATTTACAAATGGGGTTTGCTTAAAATTATTAAAAACGTATTTTAAAATTAATACAAGTATTCACAAAGAAATTTAATAAGTATTACCATCTGTAAGCATGTTTTTATATTGAAATTTGCCAAAATCCAGATGGTAATATTAATATTTTACAATCCCGCAAATGGTTTTTTTATAGTCTGTCCAGCAACACTTTTGATATACATTACAAGATATAAATATAAGTAATTTCTAAACTAGTCCTTTATATATAATTAGAAATATTCGTTGTATATATTAAAACACGACAATAACACTAATCGGTATAGAGTTATACATTACATATTTATTCTAAGAAATGCAAGTTTTTCAAGCAGCATTTTTTATTTCCTATATTTAATGAAACATGAGTATAATGCCTTTGTTAAAATGTATTTTTCTTTCCTAAAGTAGATAGATAAAACAGCTACTTATAATACGTGTTCAACATCGTTAAAAATTCTTAAATTCCACAAGCAGAATATGCTTTAATTTCTAAGTAAAACGCTACGACATCGATCGATTATATATGCATTAATAATATATTATAACATACCGGAGTTTTTTTTAATGAAAAAATGTCTGCGAAATCGAAAAGCACTGCAACATTATCAAATGTAGTAAGTACAGACGCCAGCAGGTCAAGCTACACCAATCTGTCAATTTTTTTATTGGATTTCCAACTACAATATCAAAACAAGTAAGTTGAAAATTTAATGACAAGTTGCCTTGCTGGTGTCTGTTGTTTTATTTTCAGTTTAATCAATTTTGCAGACATACATGTTATGTAGGCTAGGGTAATCTAGGTAAGATCTAGACGAGCCATTCTATCGCAGGCTTGGTGCGAGAAGGTGCTGAGCTGTAGGTGTGGTTAGGTCACAGGCTGCAGAGAGTGGGGTCTGATGGCGGTATCGACACCACTTCGGGTCGCTTTATGGTCTTGATGCGCTAAAGAAATATATTATCGATGTTAGTAACCATTGCTTACATGAAATTAAGATATTTGAAGCTGTACATTTTTTAATCGAATGCACATTTTCGTGAATCATTCGATATTGATTGATTTTATTCCATAATAAAATCATTTTTCAGAATAATAGTTAGAAATATAACATACTATATAGGTAATGAGAATCGAACGTTGCAAATATACTTACGTGGAGGAATCCGCCGGGCGTGATGATAAACTTGTATAGAATGTAGAGAGGGATGCAGGAGACGGTGGTGCCGGTCATCACCCAGCCGACGGTGATGGACCAGGGAGGGTACGCATACTCCCCGCCCAGCATCTCCTCGTGGGCCAGCACTGAGACGATGAACAGCACCAGCAGAAACACTGGGCTGTGGAGCAAAGAAAGTATTAGAAACTTTGCCCTTTGTGGCAATCCAAAAATAATTTTGGGTTAAATATCAGCACATGAATCCTTAGCAATCAACTTGGTTCTCTATTACTCCAGCTCACCTGATATAAGACCAGCAAGCCCTCCAGAACCACCCAGGCGTGTGGCCCAACATTGTCCTCACGTCTTCGGAGAACCGGTCCACTCCGTACACCCAGCAGACGCCAGCTGCCTCCGCGAACACCACGAATAAAATCGCTAGTCCTGGACCGTACACGTTCAGGAGATCCACCAGATACACTCCTCCCTAGAAAGGTATTTAAGAATGTTGCTATTTTCTTCATAGTAAGTAAAAAGTTAAAATCAAGGTTGATTTAAGTCAAGAGGTCAGTTTTAAACGGAGGAAATAAATAGAGAGTCGGAACCGCGTAAGTGCCAACTAAACTTCTATACCTAAAACCTACTGTAAATTTGAGTTGTTAATCAATTAGAAAGTAAAGTAAAACTGTAGCCTATATCTGTAACATAACAGTCTTAAAACCATTATTTAAATAAACGGAACTGTACAGCATTTGTGTTATGCTACCTCAGAGTTGACGATTCCTTGTATGGCCCAACAAATCAAAAGCCTGTTAATAGTGTAACAATTACAAGTAGGTACTTCACATTCAACACTAAACATAAACCAATCAGTTTTACTTCCTAACCCTCAGTAATAAAAACAAGGGCAAAATAAAAACAAAAGAAATCGCAGTACGTACATACGTCGGAGCGGTGAGCGAGCGTGGTGCCAGGTCATCTTGTTGAGTGATGACCATGAATTATGCAACGGAATACATTCGCACAGATAACGAAACGGTAATTTATTAGTGATACCTGCGTTGTGTTGCTGGGGAGCCTTGTGTACTAGTTTTAGGGGTACAACATACTATTTGATGGTAGATATACTATTTAGAACTTTTATTTTTCGTCCTAGAATCTTTTTTACTAATTTTACCCATATTTTAGGTGTGTAAGAACTCGTTTGTCATAATCGTGGCCTTCCCGTGTCTTTCCTAAAAACGTATCTAAAATTAATTATTTAAATTCAATCTGAACACACCCAATCCTTTTCAAACCAATATACCTACTTACAGAAATATTGACATTGAAATATCCCCGTAGTGTACAGACGAGAGACGATGTGCATTAAACCGTACAAACCCACTTAATAGATCTCGCAAACTATTTGAAGAACATCATTTCAAGAAAATAACAATTTTAGTGGGCTCAAGCTCGGTCCACGTGGTTGGGTCGTGGTCCCATATTATCCATTTTGCTCCGGTCATGAGTCACGGGTAGTCGGGGTAGTTGGATAGCGTATGATGAAGCAATAACGTTTTGTGCTGACTCGGCCCGCTCGTAATCTTTCACTTACCTCGCTATACGCCGTCTTACCTAACTGCCCAATCATTTTGCTCGCTTTTTATGACTATGGAATAGAACATTGTTTGGAACATCTAAATTTAATATTTTGGTCTGTACATACATTAAGTAGGTCCTGGAAAGACGTCATAGTACCTATCTACGTGTTTAGCCATTAGAAATGCTACTCGTTTGCAAAGACAACAGCCCTTGTGAAGGTTTAGTTTTAAAGTTTTCAATTGGAGCACTAAGATATTCTCTGTGTTACTCGTGAAACCAAACCATGATGTATCATTTTTGAATAGCTGACCACCTTTGCAATATTTAATAGTTCCTTCCTATAGTCTAGTCAAGCACAAACTCCCTGAGATCAAAAACTCCGCAGTCATCGGTTCTAGTACACTTCAGAATACACTGACTATAATAAAATGCAATGGCTCGGAAAGGTTCGGAGTACCATCACAAGTAACATTGTTTTGTTCAATGAAACATAATATAGTACATGAAGCCGATCAAGCAGAAAAACAACGATCTTGCGAAGTGACTGTAGGGTCTACTAAGAAGCTTATAGGACAAACCAAGACATTTAGAATAGTTTCGATAAAAGGTAACATGAATGTACGTAAAAGTATCTGGAATTCTGCAAAAGTAAAGATGCACAGACAAGTAACAATTTTATCAAGGTCGTAAGAACTTACATAGGTGGTAGTTGGCAGGGCACAGATATAGATGAACAGCAGAAGTACAGCTACGAATGCTTCTCGGTGTCGGCCCAACACACGAGGGTATTCGTCACACAGAGCCGTAGTTACAGCTTCCAGACCTATATAGGTAGCCAAGGTTAAGATATAGGGCAAAATATAATATCGTTAAAATTAGTTAAAAGAGAATCACTAAAGGTGAAGTGAAATCGAAGAAAAGTGATATAAGATTGTCTTTTAGGTCTGCTCACCTCCAAAGGTGCTATCCAATCCAAGTGTGATAAGCATCAGGAAAAATATGATGGCCCAGAAGACGGAGCCGGTCATGGTGGCGATGGCTTCAGGGTACACGATGAACACCAGCCCCGGACCTTCCAGACCTACCTCCTCGATGCTCTTATTTTGGACGTGCGCCATATATCTAGAAAAATGCTAGTAATTTAGTTGATACTCAAATATTTACGAAATGTTTAAATGATATTCAGAAAGTCGGTGCCAATTTGCAGAAGTTACTAATTGCATATTAGACATTTTACTAAGCATTAACTTATTTTACAACTTCATCCAACGAATACCTATTTGTACAAACATGTATAATTATATGTATACATACCCCAAAACAGAGAATATGACGAAGCCAGCGAGGAAACTGGTGAGGCAGTTGATAGATGACGTGATGAGAGCATCCCGGTAGCAGTTGTTATTAAACTTATTGTAGCTGGACAGCGCCAGTAGAGTGCCGAACCCGGGACCCAGCGAGAAGAAAATTTGAGAGGCTGCATCTATCCACACCTGGGCATCGAAAGATGGATTATACAGGATATTTAAAGAATGAGAAAACGAAGCAGTGATATTTATTAGTTTACCTTCGAGTTCTGTAGCTTATGCCACTCCGGGGTGAGATAATATCGGATGCCCTCCGTAGCTCCCGGTAGCGTCACTCCTCGCGCCAGCAGAATCAGCAGCACAGCATACGGAGCCAGTGCAGTCACCCATACCACCTATATCGCATGCAGAATATTCTAGATAGAGTTATAATAATCTCTACCTAATCATTTACTAATGATAGACTACAATAAAATGATTAATGAAAATTGCGCCTCAAATGTTGGTTTAGTGGTTAAAATAAAACAAAATATCAATCTAGTGGATAATAAAACCTATTTTGGGGTAAATCAAACCTAAGTGACCTAAGAGGAAAGTAAAATACATTCTTAAACGTGCCGAAATTCTCGTAGAAATCCGTCATCTTTTACGCATTCCCATGAAAAGATTACGTTCATGATAAATGAGATATGACAGACTTGGAGAAGTGTTAGTATCAATTTAGAAAAACTTCGCCGAGTTGAAGTCTTTTATCAAGTTTTTTGTGGCTTTGAAACTTTCGGTAGGTATTCTTTAATCAATTTAAATAGGTAGCTGTATGTATGTTGAGTACGATTTGACACCATTAATTCTTAATTGATTCGATGATCTTATCTGATTCTTCAACTTTTGAGTAAGTATCTATATCACTCATTCATAACCATAATTGTGTGCTAAATACCTAATACCTATGTATTAATAGAAATGAAATAAAAGAGGTTGCGATTAAAAAAAAATCTGAGTTTCATTCTATTGTTTTACTAAGTGTGCTTACCTTGCCAGCACTCCTGACTCCCTTCCACAGGGAGAAGTAGACGAGAACAAAGACCCCGAACACACAGACTGCCAGTGACGGCTTGATAGGACCCATGTAGTCCAGCCCATTAGATTTATGTTGCTCCAACACGTTACGTCTATAGGTAAAGTCACAGATTTAACTGAAATATCTTTCATTTAGACTGAGATTAACGTTTCTATAAGCAAGTTGACGAGTATTGAAACGAAGGGCAAGATGAAAGTTTAATGGTATGTTTAAAGTCAAGGCTGGATTAAACTAGGCCCGTGTACCCTCTGGCGGGTTAGACGGGGCTTGATACAGAATAAAGAGTAATTAGTTATTTTTTAAGGTACATAGAGTTAGGTCTGATTAGCAAATGCTTCATCGATTATATGATCAGTTAAACACTATCTAAAATAAATTCTTACTCAAAGAACTCCTTAGCAGGCGTGGAAGCATTAGGATTGATCTGAGGAGATGTAACTGGTGTGCAGAGCGGAGTGTTCCACTCGTTGTTGCAGCTGGTCCAGGGCAGCACGGAATTGATGGAGGAGATGGAAGCCACCAGGTAGTACACCGCCCAGCCGATGATCGTGTTATAGTACATGCCCATGTAAATATCGATCATGCAGATCGCGTAGCCGACGCCTAAGGAAAAATATTGAAACAGTTTTAGGGCATGTTTCATAGTTAAAAAAGTCCCTTGATATCAATAACTTCTACAAAGTTCAAAATTAATAGAGAGATCAACTAAACATAAAGTCGAACGCATTCAATAACACCCTTCATTTAAAGTTTAACTAAAACGGTACTAAAACCAAATTAAAGCAATCTCCCAAACTGCCAATAAAACAGTATTCATCCATTTATCATCTCATAATAAATCTTCAAACATTCGAAATCAAATTAATCAGTGCAGCGAGCGTCAATTTCCACGACACAAAGTTAGTCCAACTTGTAGAAATCAAATCACTGCCATCTGTCGTCGCGGGTAATCAAATGATATCGCATCGCCTCCACTAATTAGTTTACTCGATACAAGATGGCGTTATTCACAATCTTAGCTCGGATCTACTGCACTGTTGAATCGGTTTGTTATACGACACACAAATGGGGCAACGTTGTTAGACGGAGGAAATCTAATTTTGAATATCGAGTCTCCGTTTACTTTTATATTCAGCTAGAGTAAAGGGTTACTTTTTCTCACACTATATCACAAAACTCTTTTAAACAACAGCCATTAAAATTCTAGACTAAGAATAAAAACAATATGCGTACGATCAATAATAATTTACCTTCAGTAAATGCTAGAAAAGTTCCTTCTCATACGAAATCGACGTACATACATAGACATGATATTTGAGTTCATAAAATAAAATCATCACAAAATATAATGTGCATAAATACACACATTAATCAACACCACAACTTCCCGCTACAATAAAATCCTCCCGCTCCCCAATTCTTGTACCGTCTCATTCCGTATTTTGACACGCAATCAATCGGGAGGGAATATTGCCATAAACGGCGTTGGGATCCCTGTGTTATCAGAGGACGGCCCTTCTGCCGATAGCGGTGATCTACCGCCACATGTGATAAAACCAAGTCGTAAACTCGTATAGTATGTGAATCTTTAAAATATTAGGTCACTTTTGTTGAGATTTCCATAGAAAAATCTTTGATGACTTTGTAATGGGTACATAATTTTTCATGTGTTTTTTGGCGAAGTGAATTATCATCTATATAAAGGTATAGAAGATAGAAGTGTACTTTATAGTCATACTATTTTTTAAAATCGACTGCCTCGATGGCCTAGTGGTCGCAATCGCAAGTGCGACTGCCGGGCAAGGGGTCTCGGGTTCGACTCCCGGGTCGGGCAAAGCATTACTGGGTTTTTAAAAAATTCTCAGTAGTAGCACGGAGTCTGGAATTGTGCCCGGTATATGGCAATAGGCTCACCCCCTATTACATGGGACTCATAACATAAATCGTGAAAAGTGGGTGTTACATTGTACGGTGGCATAATGTGCACCTCTGCCTACCGCTTCGGGGATAAAAGGCGTGATGCTATGTTATTTTTTTAAATATAGTCCACTGCACCGGAGTAGTCGAATAGGTCCTGTACCTGTTGAAATTCTCTGCAAACTATTCGGAACTTAATATAGGAGTTAGTCCTCGAATTTAATGAGTAATCATGCATCGAATTCCTTTATACTAGATCACTAGATGAAAGTCGAATTAAAACACAGATAAGTAATTTCTCAATGAGATCGGGCAAAAGTGTTCAAAGCAGTTCACCTGCTTTGAAGTTATTATGTAAGTTTTTATGACAGTTACGGATTTTTGAAACTGCAAATGTTTTAAATCTTATTTCATTTACTGTACATTGAACACAATACCTGGTGTTTTGAAGTTCAAGATGTAATCTTGTCTTTAATATCTTTTCATATAAGTCTGTGTAAGCAGTGAGGGGGGACGATGTCCCAAACAAAAACGTATCAATATCAAAGATATGTCGTTATATCGTAAACTATGCGTTAATTGGATCGCTCACTAATTAATGTTTCTTGGTCACACAGTTATGGATTTATAAGGAAGTGCATTTTATTGTGTTTTGTTGTATCTTTTCTCTATCTTCCATTTACAAGATTCAATACATCACGCTTTTTATATTGAATCTAGTAAGCAGAGGTGGTCCTTTATGATAAAAACACACACCTCCTAGATACATAAATATATATGTATGTTATGTGTTTTATATACCTTCACAAGTAAATGGTAATTTGAATTTATATTTTGTATTCGATTCTGTCTAAAATTGTATTCGATATATATTTTTATCAATCAAATGAGAGTATCTATATAAATCTTTTAAAACGTAACTTTTAAACCAGTCAAAATTTATAATTGAAACAGATATCGGAAACAGATTACGGTTTGGCAAAAGATATCGAAGCTTGAGACTTTCAACTTCTTTTGTAAGTTACGTGATTGGTCAAATTATCACTACTGAGCATCTACCGGGATACGAACTTTGATGCGGCCAATACGACACGAATCAAAAATACTTTGGCAGATACTTTCACACGAAGTAACTTGGATTTTTGTTATTCACTTTAAAACTGTTTGTAAGTGACTTTAAAATGTATTAAAATTCTTTCGTAGCACCTACTGTAGATGGATTCAGATGTTATTAGAGGAGAGATTATTGTAATATCTTACAAATGGTTAGTATGCGAGTTATGTTTCAATGTGTATTACGTTTGGAGAAAATAAATGTTTTTACAGTGCACAAATTTATTTAGATTGTTAACAGAAATTTAGATAATTCTCTGTCTCTTCCTCAAAGCCTCTATGACAACCTTACATAACTAGTAATCCTTAACCTAAATTAGCGTAGCGGTCAATAATTAAAATCGTAGTACAGCGCTAGCGCTACGTACGTAGCAGGAGCTCGTAGTACAGTGCTACGTACGTAGCAGGATTTCGTAGCCGTGCTACGAAGTATTCGAGAAGTAAAAACTATATTTCGAATATGTTAACTTAACTTTAAGTTTTGTACTACCTATTGGTATCGAGCGAGCCTAGTCTAAAATCTGAACGCTACCGCTGCATGATCCGCTCGGCAAACATTTGCGGTGCCCTTCATCGGCTCGTTCCAACTTATATCAATGTCAGTTGGAAAATAACTAACTCGTATTCGCGACCCACGTTAGCTTAGAATGTTTTGTAAATTGGAGATATTTTTAAGGTATTTTTTAAACTATAGAGTATAAAAAACATCTTTATATGAGTAAACGTTAAACTACTTCATTACAAACTCGGTTATTTAATTTCATATATCATATCGTAAATTTATACGTGTAACTAAGAGTTCACATTTGAATCGTGCTTAGTGCACCTGACTGGTCAGTATTTGCAATTGTTAACACCTATAATTATACGGTACAGTGTGATACAAGAAAAAAATGACCTCTTTAATTTTCTACTAAACAACGAACCTTTCTTCTCTCTCTTTCTCTCTACTTCGCTCTACTGATAAGCTATCACCGACCACTCAATCAAAAGTCAATCCACCAAACAGTGGCTGACTTTGGATCCATTTCATCCATTTTAACAAGGCATCCACTTGGTCCCACCATTTGTTCGGTGTTAAAAGCATTGCCTCCTGTATATTTATAAGACGTTAGTAATGCCAGATAGTGGCCGGACAACCCCACACGGTCCGGACTCTCCGACACTCCGTTTACACACGAATGCCAGATTTTGACTTTATATTGATTTTGGGAGAAACAATATAGGTAAGTGGTGGACTTGTAGGCTTCTGTTCTTGTGACAAGATGAAGAGTTATGTGGAGTTGAAATTAGGTCAGTTTAGATGATAAAATAACCTAAAATTTATAAATCAACGAATGATAGATGTAATAAATCACTTTTGTAGGATAGAATTTATGACAAATATACAAAGAAAGAAGAAAGAAAACCTATTTATTTCTGCCTATTCTAGTGAAAAACTATTTCTATCTATTTCGCAGAACACACATAAACTTAATAACTACAAAAATAATATTGCATTAATATGTAAAGCAAAGGTAAACGGAAAATAAAAGAAAATAAAAATAAAAACTTAAAACACTATGACTCAAATCAAATGAAGTCTTGTCTATGGTCCACAGACAGATCATGAATTGCTAATATCAGTTTAATTATTTTTTACTCTGTAACTATGATCAAAGACATAAATACATTTTGAATCAAATAATCGTCCATACAAAAATGGTTTGCAGAATACAAAATATTCTCATTCAAATACAAAGTGTAAAGAACACTTTAGGCTCTGAACAGTGATTGTTGACGACAGTCCCGAGAGAGCGGCGGCGTTGGGTTCCCTCCAACTATATTGTTCGATTGCCAATATCTTTGATTGGTCGTCCATTACTCCACATTTTGTCATTACCGAGATATTTTATGGGTTTTGAAATCTGTTTGTGTGTGGTAATCTTTTATATTGATACTTATTTTGACGAAAATTTTTAAAACGCTTTTTGACAACGCTATTGTACAAAAATTTTAAAACTTTTAAGTATGATTACACAGTAGAATCAGCTTTGATACTTTGTTATTAATTTCCAACGTAACAAATAATCCAACTATAAGTATTTAGATTGTTCACGACCTGAAAAAATCAGTTAGGTGGTTATGGTTCCACTCACCCTTCAGCGCAGGACAGATCCTCTTCCACAGCGTGAGACAGCCGCAGCGATGGTACTGGCCCAGCGCCAGCTCCATGAAGAACAGCGGCATCCCGCCGAACAGCAGCATCACACAGTAAGGGATGAGGAACGCACCTGATGATAATAACTTGGGTTACTTTAACTGTTGAGCTGATTCCTTAGATAGAGTTTAAGAAAGTTGAAGATAACTCCACGGCTCTAGCATAGTGGTGAGGTATTGCGAGTTCGATTCCCAAATGTAATCCAAATGATAGTTCTGGATGTGAAAGTGGTGCTTGGGAATCGTTTTCAAAGAAAAACGATGTAAATTGTTTAATGAATAAATAAATTGAAATATCTATTAGTAAAGGAATTCGTCTTAATTAATTTCACAAAATTATATTTATTCTACTACATAGGTAAGCTACTGAACTGATCTTCTTGGTTTAATAACACTTGCTTTCATACACACTTACCGCCGCCATTCTGATAGCAGATGTAGGGAAACCGCCAGACATTGCCGAGGTCCACTGCGAACCCCACCACAGCCAGCAGGAACTCCGCCTTCTTGGCCCAGGTCTCGCGCTCTCGGGGTGGAGTCAGGGACACCACTAGTGAACGGGTTTTCTGGGACTGCTGGAAAGTAGCTTACCATCAAAGTATCATCGAGGTCTAATTAATCCAGGTAGTATTGAAATTTATCCCGGTTTCTTGTAGGTCTTTCCAATTTATTTCATGCATTAGATTACAATTATGTGTGAAATATGGTACTGTTTAACTGTGTAATTAATTACATTCATCGGTAAGTTTAAATAGCTCTATCAAGCATTAGCTACTAATGTAGAAGCCATTTACAACTAAGTGATACTTTCAATTGAGTTGATCTAGTTGAATATCCTAACCCTCGTATGCTATCAGTCCTTTTAAGTAGCAATGTGTTAGTTTTTTTTCTATTACTGATGATAGGTAATATCTAAATGAATGTGTTGATTCTGTCCGTAATGCTGGTGATGGTACTAACATTGTTGGTGGTGGCAGGCGGGTCGGGCGGTGGCGCGGTGGGCGCGGGCGGCGCGTCCGAAGCCGGCATCTCTGACGGCTCGCACTCGCCGTTGCGCCGCTCCGGCCCGGGGCTCTCGCCCTGCATCAAACAATTATGAAACAACTGGATTTAGGAGAAATTTAAATATGTGGAGGAACTTTGTGGGAGCTAAAAACATCAAAAAATAAAAAAGTAAAACCAAATTGGACTGGGGAATAACCTTATGCACTATGCATCTATTATCGTAATTTTCCATTAATGTATGTACCTTGATGCCCACCCATATCATATTCGTTTGCGTTTCGAATAGCTCATTTCTAGGCTAGAAGATGTTTGACGGAATCTGATTATCACTAAGTTTAATAATGTTTAACACATGTCAACACGAGCAAACAATACTGTCTGTAAATTTTACAATAGAAAATCGAATCACATTTTACTCAAAAAATCCTTAGTCACTCCATAATATAATAATAATTTACTCAGAAAAAGTCATAAACAAAATTCTCATTAAATTTTTGTTTACCGAAAATCGGCTCTGGTACCAACCAACAAGTTGTAAAGTACTGTATTTATGTGTGTTCGAACAATTTGTTGTATTTACAGAGATGGCGCGAGCAAACACGCGGCGGGCCAGCCAGATTGCTGGGCAAATAGAAATAATGAACAGTGACCCTCGCCTGAGAGGCTGTGGTACCAACTCATTATTGACGACGAAATAGAAGATTACGTTCGGTAAACACACTGCCTCAAATAAACTGAAATATTTTTCTTCTAGCCCAATTTCGAATTATTCTACTTGTAATTTATTTTGTTAGATTGTGTCACTGTGTGTGGGTGTGTGTTAGTTATTGAACTAAATCGTTTGTTATGGAATTTGTTTTCATAAATATTACAAGTCCAACGATATATTATGTCGAAAAGTAATAAAAACAAAAACTTTTTGAAACGATTAAATGTATTTGAATTTGTACTGCGTTGAGTAGTATATTACATTGCTCACATACTTCACCAAAATAAATAAAAGTTACGTAGAAAATGCGAAGAAGCGTTCGAGAAAATAAATCCTATAAAACCTTAAACCACAAGCAACTGATTGAATTACGAGCTACTCTTCTCACATTAAGATCAATCCTCAATCTGCCTGTATTCATTATATCGCCATTAGTCGCAAGTGGCGCCCTCAATCAACCGGCGGATAATTGTCTGAACTAATTAAGAGTGCTGTTGCTCGTGAAAGTAATCCCGTGTGTAAAACGTTGATTGTTTACGTTTCAACGGATGGGGGAGATAGGGGAGTATGGTGAGGAATTGAGGAACTCCAAGAGGTGTAAATGAAGATGGACTGGATTGGCTCCAGAGTCGTTGGAAGGGCAGCTGGTTTTCAATTTTGTGCAAACTCTATACTGACTAAATGTAGTGATAGACCTATAGTTATCGTACACATAATTTTTAGACGTATACAACTGCAAAATGCTAATCTTGTAAGCAAATATTAGCAACGCTGTTGCAATTTACCACACAATGCTTTCTCCCAACAACTACTTGTAAGAAGGGATGTAGTTAAAAATAAAATGCAAAACGTACAAAGGCTCCTCAAGCGGCTTGTTTTATGAGGTATTCTACGTTTATCGTCAATAAAATGGACGGCAGTCTCCATCTTTCATTGTGAATGACTCAAAAAGCTAAACATTAATCTCTTAATGTGTAATTTGGTTGGTTCGTATGTGAATCCGCTTAGTTTTATTGGTGATTCGATTTTAAAGAGTTTGTTATGTGTCTTCCATTTTCTAATGTACTATCTAAGATTATTTGGACTCCACTGACACGCGGTGAAGGAAAACGTCGCGAGGAACATGGACTTACGATTTCTAATTATAAATTTGAAATCGCCAACCCGCACAGAGGCGTGGGGATATTTTGCTTTGGTCAGCAGTGGGCACTTACAGGCTGTTGATGGTGATGATTTTCTAATGTTTTGATATCTTTTATTGTGTTTTAAAGGAGTAGTTACTAGTACGATGGCAGTGCCCATTAATGCTATAGTAATGTTCGTTTTTCTATTTGTTTTATACCACGACGGTGGCAAGATAGGCACACGGCCCACCTGATGGTAAGTTGTTACTGTGGCCTATGTACGCTTGCAACACATGGGATATCACATGCGCCTTGCCGACTTTTTATAATTATATGACACATATATAATTTTAATCTATACAGCTCATACAAGTAAATGGTATCGTGAACTACAGTCACTGAATATTCAACAACAGATCTTTCTGCATCCAATCTTACATGTAACTTCAACCTGATAAATTATTGTTTGGTCATTCCTATTCAGGACTTAAGACAATGAGTACACGTTTGTTAAGACATTTTGAGGAATTAAACTTGCATCATTTGCTCTGAAATACTGGGCTCTGCAGGAAGAGAAGTGATAGTGACAAAAGCACATATTTTACTCTGTCAACATGTAGTTTATTCCAATAGGCTCAATCACTACATAGTATAAAACAAAGTCTGCCTGCCCCTATGTATGCTTAGATCTTTAAAACTACGCAACGGATTTTGATGCGGTTTTTTTAATAGATAGCGTGATTCATAAGGAAGGTTTATATATATGTAACATGCATATTGCACCCGCGCTAGTAAAAAATAAAGTAGTTAATTTCCAAATATACAAACGCCACTAAATTTTAAGTCGTGCTTAAGTTACAGTTCTGTCACTACGAATTCTTTATAAAATCCCCTAGATGGCACGATATTCAATCTCTTGCCTGTTGAAAGTTGCGGGTATAATGTGTTTTATACTGGGAGCCGGTGTTTCAACAGATAAAAGAATAAGTACAATTTCAAATTTAGTAGCCTTTAGTATTCGGGCGTAAGTGTGGTAATGTTTAGACAGCAGACAATTATCAATATTTTTTCCATCAATGAAAGAAAGAGAGACCTTCCAATAAATATCGCCAAAGCCAAATAACAATTGTTATTTAACGAACTTGTTAGCAGTCAATGAATAAATCAATTTGAATAAATATTAATAGTATTTAATTAATAAAACAAAACGACTTCTGTTTACTTTAGATCGGGTTTCGTTTCAATCCAGTCACTTTACATGATTCCCAATCAATTTTGAGTTAGAACAAATTTGTTTTGTGTGATTAAAAGTGATTAAAAACTTAGAATCGCTGGAGAATATTTTCTTTGGCAAATATTAACGGGATTCGGGAAATCAAGTTACTAGGTACAAGCACTATTAATTGTTTAGTCACTAAATAACCAGTGCTAAACAATCTGAAGAATTATTAATGAAATGAGAATTTGATTTCACAATTCCTAAGTCTTCTTCTTATTCTAAACTATAGCAAGGAGATTAGAATTCCGATATTTGTTCATAGACAACTTTTATTATGACAGCCTCATTGGCCGAGTGGTCGCAAGTGCGACTGCCGGGCAAGGGGTCTCGGGTTCGATTCCAGGTTTCAATTCAGTATTGCTGGGTTTGTAAAAACCTTAATAGTAGCATGGAGTCTGGAAATGTGCCCGGTATATGGCAATAGGCTCGCCCCTATTACATGGGATTCATAACATAAATAGTCAAAAGTGGAACAAAATTGTACAGTGGCATAAGTGCCGTAATGTGCACATCTGCCTATCCCTTCGGGGATAAAAAGGCGTGATGTTATATATGTGACTTTTATTACGGAGAAAAATAACATAACTGATTATAGTTTATTATTCCATTAATAAAATATTATAAAAATTAAGAAGTATTATACAAACTAAAAATAAAAGAAAGGTGAATGCAAGTGCACTTAAATATCTCTTTTCTTGAGGGGCATATCATCGAATGACTTCTCCCGTGGTTTTTAGTCAGTAAAGAATCTGACACTGGAGGGAGTGTCTGATTCTCTACTTTTGCTCTTCGAGCGCTAGGCCTTCAGCGGCTCCGTACTTAAATATATCTTAAAATGAAACTAATCTATTAATTACCCTTTGATTTACTAACTAGTTTTAATAGTTGAGCGAAGACAATATCAAATGATTTTTCATTTTTTATTATAAATAGTATAATTAAGTGTGGGAGAGCCATGCTTCGGCACGAATGGGCCGGCTCGACTGGAGTGATACCACGGCCTCATAGTAAACCGACGTGAAGCAACGCTTGCGTTGTGCCCTATCTTAACAATCCCTGAATCCCCAACGATCCTCAAACTCCTAATCCCCAAAAGGCCGATAACGCACTTGTAACGCCTCTGGTGTTCCAGGTGTCCATGGGCGATGCCGATTGCTTACCATCAGGTCATCCGTCTGCTGATTTACCATAAAAAAATAATAATAAATAAAAATCGATTTCACATTTTCCATTAATGTTGGATTTCTAGTTCTAAGCTTTAATTTTTTGTTTAATAATAGCAAAACCCTTCCATTATCTCCTCTCCAGACGTTTATGACTTACACCAAAGGCTGTAGTAACTTTACACGTAAAGGTCTGAGGGAGTTACCGTGTGTCCTCTGGTCCTCCACCCTCAGGAATGTGAAGGTAAATTGTTTTTACACTTCGACAAATGTCTGTTAATGTTTTTTACAGTCTAATGTTACGGTTGAACACGTTGGACTACTAGATTCGTATTGATTTGGTTTTGTTTGAATAGTTAAAAGTTTTGTGGACTAGTGGTTTAATATAATTCAATTAGAGATGAGTACATAATATTTTAATTAATTTGCTTTTATATATTCTTCGAACGTATATGTTAGCTGTGGAAGCTCGATGTTTGTGTGGGTCGAAAACACTCAACTCAACTGTCGTATTTTTGCCTACGACAATGATAACTCTTGATAACGTTGCTATAAAATTTAGAGAGTATAAGAATGATAAAAAGTAATCAAGTGTTAGAGACAATTCTGTTTTTTGAAGAACACTTTGTTAAGTAATATTAGTTAGTTGTATTACAGAGATTACGGAGAATTATTCAAAACCTAATCATCAGATTAGGACATTTTTATTAAACCTCTATCGAAAGTAGTTGAATAACCAGTATAGAATAGAAAATTGCATACACACTGAGTAGAAGCGTTAGTTTTTTTTCCTCGCGTAAGTTCACAACTTGCCCCACAAGACGTGCCCAGCAATGCTCGGCACGGGTCCCGGCATGCGACATACCGAGCCCAGACTATGTCGCTTTGTAACTCAGCCCTAATCAACGCAGATATGCTGCTAACTAGTTTTTGTGTTCTTTGCCAACCATGTTTGCACGTCTTTGGAGGTAACTCTTGTTTACAAGGACCTTGTGTGTCAAAGGAGGCTTATAAAGATGTACATGTTTAGGAAAATTTTGATAGTTCTGTTAGTAATAGTCATCGATTAATGTATCTTTTATGGACTTTAGTTTCAGTGCACATTATCTTCGCTGGGATCCAAGGACGTTACAATATACGTTACAATATAAAGTTGTTCTTATTTAGTTTGATTTTAATAGTTCCGCCATATATTTTTTCATTTATGGCGTTTATTTTCAGAGCACGATATCTCATTGTACCAGTGGATTAGTTAGTTTAAGCCACCTCTCGTTGAGAAAAACATTTAACGGAGTGAAAATGCATTTACTCACTTTTAAGATCTCTTACTATGCAATATTTTTGACTTGTCTTGAACTTTGACCATCATATTCATACAGTACCTACTATAGTTTAGCAGCTTCGAAACTGTCCGGAGAACGATCTCCTCTGATCTATGAGCAAGTTGTTATCTAAACGAGGTTGTGAACTATATCCAAGTTGTGATGAGTCTGGCTGAGGCGGTCACCCTCCCATCTGTACAGTATGAAGGGAGTGACCTTGACCTCTTTCAGGTGAACTTTAAGTGAAACCCTTAAAGTTTATGAAGGAATCTTTGTAAGGTTTTGTGTTGTGAAATAATGTTTTGGTATGATGTCAGTCTTGTAATCCCGATTTACCGGTGTAATGAAGAATTTTGTAATATTGTGCTTTGCTTAATATGACTCACATATTACCTAACAATAGTAAAATAACATAACATCACATCTTTTATCCCCGAAGGGGTAGGCATGCGCATTATGGTACTTAATGTCACTGTACAATGTAACACCTATTTTTCACTATTTATGTTATGAGTCCCATGTAATAGGGGGTGAGCATCTTCCTATACCGGGTACATTTACAAACGTAACAAAACCTGCACGGTTATTTTGAACCACATTTTAACATCTTAAATTGTGTGTGTGTGACTGCCGTTTTCATAATGTAAGAAGTATTTAAAAATTGAAAGAACGATGTAAGTAGACTTGAATGTCATGTTTCTAGACTCGCGTATACTTACAAAAGGTTTTTATATTTAAAAAAACCTTGTAACGTTGTTAGAAATAACTAGGTGTAATAATAATGCAACCTTGACTTTCTTGCATAATTAGATAGTTTAAAAATTATAATGAACTAGCTGTTACCCGCGACTTCGTCCGCGTATAATATGAATTTTTGAATATATTTTTTTTTGTCTCAATTTTCCAAAATAAAAGTAACGTATGTTACTCCTGAGTATATCTGCTACCTGCCAATAAAGATCTTGGAAAATTGGTCCAGCTATTCCAGAGATTAGACAGTAAAAACGGACAGACAGGCAAAAATTGTTAAAATATTATTTTGATATGTATATAGTCTGTATGTAGTAAAAAACGGTTATTTTAATATTACAAACAGACACCCCAATTTTATTTGTATAAATATAGGTAGTTGTCTTATAACCTTAAACAATATGTAAAATACGTTAAGCAGAAAGGGGTCGAATGACAACAAAATTATGTAAGTAACGTAATTTGTATAACTTTAACAAAGTGAGTAAACAAAGTGAGTAAAAAGTGGATTAATACTATTTTCTTAACTGATCTGTTTTGTTTTTATGGGATAAGCCTGTAAACGATGTATCACCTAATGGTAAGCAATTGGCGTCGCCCATGGACAAATAAATCACAAGAGGTGTTACAAGTCCGTTACCGGCCTTTTGAGGATTAAGAGTTTGAGGATTGTGGGGATGGGGAGATTGGGGATGGATAATTGGGCCAGCGGTAACCTCACTCACACGACGAAACACAACGCAAATGTATCACGTCGGTTTTCTGTGAGGCCGTGGTATCACTTCGGTTGAGCCGGCTTATTCTTGCCGAAGCATGGCTCTCCCACGCTTATTGTTTTCAAAAGAACCATTTCTGGTTATTGGTATAGCTGAGGTTTCCCTATCAAAGTTCCAAGAAGCATACCTGTATTAACACGTAGGGAAGCTGTACAAGTTTTACAATTGTAATGTTTTCCTATATCATAATGCATAATGTCACAAAATCAAAGTGAGTTCGCCCACGTATTCTTTTATTTGTTTTCTACACGTTTGACTCGGGAACTCAGTGAAAGATCGAAGAGTGCGGGGCTACGGAACTCGGCAAGTACGCACGGACCAACGCTTACATTTTAGTGAAATTAAGTCAAAATAACTTGGTTCTAACAAAAGAACAAAGGCATGCCTGTATTCCGACATTCCCACTTTTGAACAAATACTTTTGTTATAATTTTTCTTTTTTAATATTTTTTTTTTGGCTGTTTTTTGTCACAGCTTTTGTGGTTTGCGTAGCTAAATATTAAACGTGTTGGCCGTTTGAATTTTACGTTTCTAGCTATTTAGGTACCTACTTAGTTAGGTTTTATTCATTTTATATAACTATGAATTAACTGCTTCAAATGGTAGGCTGTAGAAGTATTTACAGACAGAACATACAGTGTGGCCGCATTTGAATTGAACCCAAAATGTATGTTTTTATAATAACTATCGTGAGACATACTAAATTAAGTAAAAACGCGGGTTATTCACGTGAATATACTGAGAAAAGCTCTACTAGTTTCGAACCACAGAGGGGTTCTTCCTTATGAGCAGCGTGCGCGGTCGCGGCGACGTCGTAGTAGAGCTTTTCTCAGTTTATTTAAAATGTATGCGTAGATAATCCTTTTGATTTGCTGTATATTACAAAGACATACTAAACTAAGACAAAACTACAGATCCATAATACTCTGAAAACTTTTAAACGGAACGGAACCACCCTAAACTCAAACAAAGACTGCGATGCGGCGCTGAATGTAAAAAAATCGTTTGAAATTGTGAAGTATGAGTGCGCCTGCGATCGTTTTGTTTGCTTAGCGACTGTGTCAAGTTGCGCGGCTTTACCTCAAACTTTTATATTATTTTTAAATGTTATCGCCAAGTCAATGCTCGGAGACAGACCGAATGTATCAAACATATTCTGAGTAAAAGTTTATTGTAACATATTTACGTTTTATGCTTGATAGTTTATAATTGTGTTATAATAAGTTTTAAGTTACTCTGTACAAATTACATTATGAGGACAGGTAACGTATTAACACTATTGCGGTCGTCCTAAATTTATGTTGACTCTGAAACGAGATAGTCAAAATAATTAACTAAACATCGTGGGTTACTCACGTGAAAATCCTGAGTAAAGGTCTACTAGTTTCGAACCATAGAGGGGCTTTTCTTAATGTTTTCACGTGAGTAACCCGCGATTTTTAATTAATTTAGTATGTTTTACTATAGTTATTATTATAAAAACACAGTCAAAATAATATTTTTAAGCGTAGTATTAAAATAGACGAACCGTTTCCGAGGATAAAGTCTGTGCTTTTTTAGATATTCGGTTGTGTATATAAAGACAATGCAAACAGTGTTTTAACTTCAAAATTGTGTAGCTATGTTTTTTACCCTCTCGCTAAGACTTGAGTCATATATTACGTGAGATTTGGGCTGATATTGTAGGAAATGTAACTTGCAAGTAAAAACGTTGTTACTTACAAGTTAACTTACAGTGAACTAAGTTATGGTAAGCAGGTACCGAAACAAAGATTGATTAAATAACCTACCTGATTCATTCCATACATTTTAATACTGATTCCTAGATGCAGCTCGCCCGTGTAAGTTTAATTAAAGACTTATGCTACCGTCTCACACAAAACTAACGAACTAAGACCATTTCTAAATAGATTAGGTACTTTCTAGACTTCCTGGCTTTCTCTTAAACCCTTTTTGATTAAAACGTGTGTTGTATTTACATTTCTTTGAACCAAAGTTTGTTTAGAAGATTACTGTTCTAACTATCTCCTGTTTATACGTAGTAAATATTAAATTGCAACGAAATTCAATCTTAGTTATACGTAATAAGGTGCTTTTAAGGTAAAATGTTGACAGTGCAAGTAGTGAGAAGCTACAGGTTGTTCAGTCAACAAGTTTGTTCATTTATTTCGACTGCACTGTTGGTGCAGTGAGTGGGTGTTGCGGAAAGTCGTTGTGGTTCCCGCTCGGAACATTTCTTTGTGAGTTTCACAAATTGTTGTTCCTGGTCTGAATATGATGTGAATTTGAAACTGTGTATTTATGAACACATCCATTACATATGAAAATATCTTAGTGGGTATCGAAAGTATAAAAAATCTAATATTTGTAAAAGTAATTAACTCCCATTTGAAGCTGAACAATTACTTTTTTAGTATCAACCATGAATCTAATATATTTTTTAAATTATGTGAACTTAGTTGTATGAGTAACGAATGGTTATGTGTATTTTTATTATAAGGTAAGATTATATTACTTAATAGAAAATTGTATTCGAAATTTGATAGGTAGACAATTAAAAAGGTTGTAAAGGAGTTACAATTAATAAATTATACATTAGTGTATTCTGAGTGTTTTATGATTGGTGGAAAAATATATATATAAAGCTGGGAACTTAAGAAACGGTTTCAGATTATGTGTCAGTTTATGAAAATTAGTTTTTAGGATTTTCATGAAAATCATTTTATTCTAAAATCTTTCTTAAATATACAATAGCTTAATAACCGTGAAGCGTAAAGATGACTGAAAACTCCCTTCAAAATATTAATACAGAAAACTGATAGGAAAAGTTAAAAAAAATAAAATTATCTTAAACTTCTACAATATTTTGAGATTTGAAAACTTTTCCAAAATTTCTAAAACTGATAAACCCTGTAACAAATTATTCTAGTGAGGTATTCTTACCTTATGTTTAAGTAGACGTCAGCGTTCTGGCGACAGGATCCTCATGTCGAACTTTCGTAAGGAAGTCATTACGTGTGCTTTGGTCCGCGTCTTCTCAGCCACTGGAGCAGCCATCAGGCACGAGCACGATGGCACGGTGGGCGGGGCATGCCGGCCATGACACGCCCACTGCAACAAGTTGCCGACAACTGGTGCTAAGAAACCTTCTGCCGACTGCTTTTTTAAACGATGCTTGAGCCTGGACTACAAGTGTAGGACTTGTTATTTATTTTAGTATTTTTGTAGTTTAAGGTTTGATTTTCAGTATTTTTTTTATGTAGAAGATATGTATTAAAAGACTTTATTGTAAAGTTTTTAACTTTTAACTTCAATGTCTCACTGACCTTTTTAAGCTAGTCAATAAAATTTGTTTAACTTATGGTAGTAATTTTTTTATTTTACTTTAAAACTTCTAGCGAACTAGTAACTTTTTTCTTTTTCTGTATCGTGCGGGAGAGCCATACTTCGGCACAAATAAGACGGCTCGACGTGAGAGATATCACGGCCTCACAGAGAACCGACGTGAAACAACGCCTTTTGTTGTGTTGGTCGTGTGAGTGAGGTTACCGGAGGCCCAATTACCTTCCCCAATCTCCCCGATCCCTGAATCCCCAACGATCCTCAAACTCCTAATCCCCAAAAGGCCGGTGACGCACTTGTAACACCTCTGGTGTTCCAGGTGTCCATGGGCTACGCCTTTTGTTTACCATCAGGCGATCCTTATGCTCGTTACCGGCTTATGCCATAAAAAAAGTAGGTAATCATTCTCCTTGCAAGCTACTAATCATAGATCTTTAACTTTACATCTCAAACCTGGATTTTACATTTTAGGAGTAACACTCGTGTGTTCTACATATGTAGGTCATTGCAACTAACTTAACTGGAATGAAGGAGTATGTTAGGAAACTTTCAGGGGTTTTGTAAGTAAAGCCTCACAAATCGGTTTACTGGTCCAAGGTTACCATCACCTAGATTTTAGTAGATTAACTCGTCACGTGGCTGGAGCATAAGAGACCCGTGAAAGTGAGGTAAATTGACTACCTTTTCGGTCAAATTAAATGAAGATTCACAATCTGTACTAAGATAGAGCCTGTATCCCAATTTCCGTAATAACCAATGTATTGAAAAGTTATCTAATTCAAGAGATTCTCAATATTAGACTGTGTCTGAGCCCAGTGCATGGCAAAACTTTCTAACTTATGACATAAAATCAAATAACACTAAATGTTGGTTTAATATACCGCAGTCTAATCGCTTAGTGAATACAAAGACAAAATATTACACAATTTTAACCTTTTCTTGAAACACGAACAGACTACGAATTCTTTTCCAACGCAAGTCGCCATCCTCGCCTCGTCCTTAGCTCTCACAATAGATAAATAAACATCAAGCAGGCGTCCCGCCCCTCTGTGATCTTCACAGATTTGACCAATCAACCGATACTATCTACTACGGATTGATCTCTATTACGAACTAACGGATAAGTAAGGTTTTTCTATCTAAGCTGATGGAGAATAAAAGAATTGTGTCGGCTGAACATAAGAATGTACTGTGTTACTGATTTGCGTGACGGCTGTTAAGATGCTTGTGTGGCAGTATTTTCTAGATACGAGTAGATATGTACGTAGTATGTAGATGTATTATTTCAATGGTAAAAGTTATGAACAACGACAGTATAGTATAATTAAAATGGCGTAAGGTTGCAAGCCTTTCGGTTTTCTTCTGAATGCATTTCAGTGAGTGTGCGGGGGAATTGCATAACTTGATTTCCCTTAGTCCTTTCCATCATCGTACCACAAGACAATCGGCAAAGCATCACCGATTCATGGTAGATGTCTCACCCACACACATGAAGCGCTTCGCATCAAGTTTCCTTGTGCGTACTGCTAATGAGTGGAATTATTTGCCAGAGTCTATATTTTCTGAAGGATATACTTGGGTCTTCATGACCTGAGTCAATAGGTGGCTTATGTATGGGACGCCATGCTCCACCGTCGACCGGAACATCGCTTACCACCTAGTGAGATAGAGGTCGAACGACGGCCCATCAAACATAAAAAAAGTAGGTAATCGATTCGTTGTTCATAATTACGACTGCTGCGCACGAGACAGAATATTTATTTCTTTGGTATACCATTGTAATGTACTCAGTCACATACTTAATTTCATTGTAGATACTTACAAATATGAAATATGTGAAAATGGTAAACACTTTGGAACTTCGTGTTCCAACTAATTACGATTACAGCTAGATGTAATGCATACTTAAGTGTGGGAGAGCCATGCTTCGGCACGAATGGGCCGGCTCGCCCGGAGTGATACCACGGCCTCTCAGAAAACCGACGTGAAGCAACGGTTGCGTGGTGTTTCGTCGTGAGAGTGAGGTTACCGGAGGCCCAATTACCCTCTCCTTCCCCAATCTCCCCAATTCCTGAATCCCCAACGATCCTCAAACTCCTAATCCCCAAAAGGCTGGTAATGCACTTGTAACGCCTCTGGTGTTCCAGGTGTCCATGGGCGACGCTGATTGCTTACCATCAGGTGATCCGTCTGCTCGTTTACCGGCTTATGCCTTTAAAAATACTTTCATAACAGCTATCAGGTTGTTATAGAAAGAACAACCCTAAGTAAATAAAGGAAAAGAATTATACCTGTCTGTCGTACTGGTCAAATATCATATAGATGTTGTTTATCCCATTCTTTAATCCTGAACATAAACAAACTAAATTTTAAAACAAGCTGCTATAAAAAATATAATTTATAATATATTGTTCATAATATAAAAGTGTATGAGCAATAAGATTAGTATTTCAGCAGCTGGTCCTACTAGATAACTGGCTACTGTCCACTGCCCGCATGTCGCCCGCCGTTATCTGATAACGCGCCACAAAGCAGCCTCACGTCATGTCACAGTATGTTATATACATTTACATGTAAGAGTAGGGCTAAAAATAATTTCAGTTTTTGACCTTTAATGAAATTGTGAGTTTTACTAAAATTGTTAATGTTATTTGAAAAGTTGGTACGAAAAGTAAACAAGTACATTTCCAATATACGGCCGTCTTTTTTTTATAGACATCATGGTTAGACATTTATAAAGAAAAATAATGACCTATGAGTATATTACATGATGTTTTTATTGTAAAAATGAAAGGAAGGATATAAACAAAATAACAATTCAGTTTTCTTGTATTTAGTGGTAATACAACCGCTATTCATTATACTGAGTATAACCGTGAACCAACGCTTGCGTTGTGTTTCGTCGTGTGAGCTACCGAATCCCCGAATCCTCCACAATCCTTAAATTCCCAATTCCCAAAAGGCCGGTAACGCACTTGTAACGCCTTGGTGTTTCGGGTGTCCATTGGCGGCATCGATTGCTTACCATCAGGTGATCCGTTTGCTCGTTTACCGGCTTATGCTATAAAAAAACCTTTTATCTGACCCAAAAATCAAACCCACACAACATCTACTTTGAACCACTTTAACTCTACAATTCATAACAAAAACACCGAAATCAAAATCAATTATCAATTCGAAGTAAAACACATTCGAACATGTTTTGATGATATGTTTCACAATGGATACACAATCGTTGTATTGTAATCGCTTATTGAAAGTATAGGGTGCCGTGGGTATAATGACATAATTATATTTGCGTTATATCCACACTAAGCCAACTGACAATTATCGCCAAGACATCAGGTGTTGACAACAGTCATCATTTATACACATAACATAACATAACATAACGTCACGCCTTTTATCCCCGAAGGGGTAGGCAGAGGTGCACATTATGCCACTGTACAATGTAACACTCACTTTTCACTATTTATGTTATGTGTCCCATGTAATAGGGGGTGAGCCTATTGCCATATACCGGGCACAATTTCAGACTCCGTGGTATTACTGAGATTTTTTTAAAAACCCAGTAATCCTTTGCCCTACCCGGGATTCGACCCCGAGACCCCTTGTCCGGCATTCGCACTTGCGACCACTCGGCTAACGAGGCAGTCATAATTTATACCAGTTTTTAAATGATACTTCATATCGTAGTTGTGTTTTAGAAACATTTTTCAGAACTCAGTTAACGAGGCTCTTCGCTAAAGTATCTTAATGTGCGGAATATAACATTTTTCGCAGTGGGTTTCCATAGATTTTGGTCTAAACTCCGTGTTTGGAAAAAAACTCGCCTCCCAATATGAGAATGAGGTACATACATGGTGGAATTAAAAACAAAACTAGTAAAATGAGGCTTAACACGTTACATACCATGGGGGTCACTGGTAACCGACCTTATTGGAGAATATGCCTTCAATAGTTGAATATTGGCAGTCATAGACTTAATGCCAGTATTCAGAAATTAAAAAGTTATGTGTTAGACAAAATATTACCCTTTAAAAGTTAGTTCTTTTATGTTTAGATAAAATTGTAATAAAGATATGAACATCTCCCTTACGTTACGAACCACTGACACCTGCAATTAAGAATTTAAAGCAATTCCATGAGTAATTATTTTGATTTGAACCAACAATGTTATATGGGTAACATTCGGTACCGAACAGACAAACTCTGAAGTCCATTGTCTAAGAAGTACCATTATTCAAAGGCTAGAAGATCCATTTATAGCAACAGCAGAACACCTGGGTCTAGATCTAGATTTGCAGTACATTAATATTACTTAATAATATTCAAAATGGGTGTTTTAGTGAAAAATGCGACCCTATCAGTCAGCATTTCCCTGACTGCTTTGCAGATTGTAGGGTTCTGGGCCCCCGAGGGTCTCACAGAAATTCAAAGATGTCTGTACAGATGGTTCGGAGTATTCTCTTTCATGTTTATGTTAGGTTTGTATTTATGTTTTTAGTTTAATAGAAGGGTTGGATCATCGAGATAAATATAATAATAATGTTATTAAGGAGGGACCTTAATTTTTCGGCTTACTTACGTAATTATTTGACGAGCAACTCGACTAGTTTCAAGTCATGCTAGAGGCTCATATTCGTGAGTAGCATTCCACGACCCGCGATGCGATGACTGCGAC